CCTCCAAGTAAATATCTTTTTCCTTTTTCTAGATTAACCCACGTCAATACTCAAGCACCTCCTTAGCAAACATACACCTTAACTTGGTTCTGCACTTCCTGTAGTACCCTCTGTAGTACTTCCGACTGGTACAGGAAAAACTCCAAATAACTCCTCGTCAATCTCCCCTTTTTGACTATGTATGTGAGCTCAGCACTTTTACCTTCAATGGCATCGTCACCAAAAACACCAAAACACCAACAGCTCCAATCTCCCCCTACTTAAGTCACATCATTATCAAAAAATAATTCGAAGATCTTCCCTGTTCAAATTGACGAAGTTGATAGCCCATCACACCATTGCCATAGAGATCATCTTTCTTGACTCAAACGTTCTTGAACATTTGTCCTTCATGACTGAACCTTCGGATAAAGCCGGAACAATGACGTTGAACATTTCTTTGAACTCCACAACGATAACATGTAGGACCACAAAATATCCCACTATAAACTTAATCCATTTGATGATTCTTCCTCAATAACTTGAAACATCTTGGCCTAATACGCCCAGCAACTCCACAATGATGACAAACAGGTGCACTCTGAAATTCTAAAAATTTCTTTGTAGCAGTTACTGTCTTTGTAGCAGTTGCAGTCCCTATAGCAATTATGGGCTTCGGCTCTGAAGCATATATAGTTGCAGTCTCTCTTCTTTCTCCAGACACAAAAAATAGTTTCAGTTTTTTGAAGATTCCCCATTAAATCCAAGACTATGTCGCTCCATAGGATTTTTCCCAATATTCAAAAGATGATCCAACTGACTTGTACCATTATTAAGCATCCTCAATTACTTTTGTGTCTCTTCCAGCTGAACTCTAGCTTGAGTTGCTTCATCTTCTTTCTGAACTGCATACTTTTGTGCTTCAGCAACTTGAGCTTCTAACTTGACTTGCTACTTAGTCTACCAAATTTTCTTCAACCACTTTAATCCAATGCTCATACAACGTCTGATAGTTTTTAGCAAATTCTTC